CACTTTTAGCTTTATAGGAAATGAAGTAATTTTTGGGTTATGCTTCAGCAGTGTTGTTTATCTGTAACAGTATTTCGTTTCCATGGGTGCGGGTGTTTCATATAATGATAAAGGAAACTGCAGGAAAGCTCTCCCAACCTCATGAACACACACCTCTGACCTGTGACCTTGAGAAAGGTATGGATTAGATGTTTTTAAGAAGACCATTAGTCTTATATTTTTGTTTCTAACCTAGGTGCTCCTTGTTGTGTTTTCATTTATTTTTTATTCTTCCTGTCCTCCTCTTTTTTCAGTACTGTAGTGCCAGTGGCACCCTTTAGCTCGGAACCTTGTTGAGCCATGCTGCAGTTCTATGTAGAGTATTTGGAGTCTCTTTTCTTTGAGTTACCAGAACAGGAGCATATATGTAGACAATAATAATAACTACCACTTTTTAGATGCCACTTTTATGCCAGGCGCATTGTGTATGGCCATCTCTGAGGTTCTCATTTTTTACATGAGGAAGCAGTCTTAAAGGTTAAGTGACTTATCTCAAGGTAACCAAACACGTTGAGAAAGGAGGGATTCAAACCTATAAGAGCTCTGATTATACAGTTAATTACCAGCGTACTTTAGGATCTGTTATAATTCACTCATTTGAACATAGATTTATATTTCTGTTGTAATTAACTTCTGGGATAAACTCAGAAGGCATTTTAAAAAGTAGAAAAATATAGGCCATGTTTACTGAGTAAGTTATCTCTCTTCTTCTTTCTCTGAATCCTCTAAAGTAGCTTCCTCAAGTGGCTCAAAAAATTTTTTAGAACTTCCCTTTTTTAAAAGACTTGTGATTTTATTTTCCTTTCTTGTTACCAGGAAATTGCATATAAGGGAAAAAAAACACCATGGAACTAGCTGAAAACCATGTTACTCTTCTTTCTACTGCAGCTTCTATTTTCATTTAAAAATAAATTGTGGTTGTTATATCAAGTTGGATATGGCTTCTTATGCCACTGTCTTTGCAGTGTAGTTGTAGGCATTGTCTATACTTTATATTCCTTGTCTGGAGCAGAGTCATAAGACTAATGCCCCCCTGCAAACAGTCTTTTGTCTACATCAAGTTATAGTAAGAGGTTTCATGTATGTGTATCCAGAGAGGTTAGTTTTATTTTGGGGTTCAAATTATATAAACTTCAGTTTAAAAAAATAAAGCCCTCCCCCCAATACTTATCTGAAAGGCTATAGGAGGTCTGGTAGCATAGTGCCTAAGGCATTTGACTGCTAACCAGAAGGCTGGCGGTTCAAACCCACCAGCCACTCCTCAGAAGGAACGTTGGGCAATCTACTTCCGTAGTGATACCACCTCAGAAACCCAAGGAGGGGTCGCTATGAGTTGGGGCTGACTGGCAGCACATAACAACAACAACAACAACATGGGGATTAAAAATAATCTTGAGAGCCCCTTCAGCCCAATAGAAAACCTTAAAGTACAGGAGTTGCCTCCACCAATTATGTGTGGTTGATTTCTAGTCAAGGTGTGGTACTTTGCTCTTGATCAGTCACTGCTGTCGAATCGGATCCAACTCACAGCCATCTCTCCTTAGGTGTCTGAGACAGTATCACTCGGAAGTAGATTGCCCAGTCTTCTTTCCAAGGACTGGCTGGTGAGTTTGAGCTGCAGCCTTCTGGTTACTAGTCAAATGACTTAGGCACTACGCCACCAGAGCTCCTGATTATATAAACTTTGGTTAAAAAAAATAAAGCTTTTTTTTCCTCCCCTGGGTACTTATCTGAAAGGTTATGAGGGAAAGCCCCTTCAGCCTAGTCAAAAACCTTAAAGTGAGAGAGTCACCCCCACCAATTGTGTGTGGTTGATTTCCAGTTAAGGTGTGGTACTTTGCTCTTGATCAGTAGTAAGTTTTCCAATTTACTAATCCTTAAGTTTGATGAAGACTGGATCAAGGAAACCCTCAGTTCTTCACTGGGTTGCTCTCTTGTTTTAACCCTCAGCTTTTCCTTTGGGTGGTGTGGTGTGGGGAAGTCTATAATCATACCAAAAGAATTTCCGATTTATTACACGTTTCAGTTGCAACGATTCACAGTTTCTCTTTCAGATTGTGAGTTTATGTATGAAGGAAAAACATTGGTCTAACAATTGGATGGCTTCTCCTAGATATCTATTTCACTGTTGTTTTCCCACATTCTACCTCCTCTGATAAGACAGTTTCATTTTATACAAAGAAAGCCAAACTGCCTGACAAGGGCTCATCCCTACACCCATCCACCTGCTAAAAAATTCTCTGCTGAAGCAGCAGGAAGAGATATGCATACTTGTGTTTGTAAGCACATGTATGTGTGTACACATGAACACATGTATGTACATAGTCCCCTATATCTGCTAATGTTTTATCCCCTCTTTGTTTGTTCCCACTGCATCCTGCCTGTAAACAATTAGTTTAACAATTCCAGATAGATTTCTGTGCATTTACTTTACTTCCGCATTTTCCAGTTTCCAGTAAAGAAGTATTGCTTCACTGTGGCCTTTTGCCTTTGTGTGCGTGTGTATGTGAGTGTATGTGTGTGTGTGTCTGTGTGACAGTGATAAAGTTCAAAATTAAGAATATGGTACACACAGAAGGTGATTTTATTGAGCAGTAAATGATGTTTACTTTTGGTGGTATTGTGCCTCCCTTTCTGGTTCAAGTTTTCAGGTTTCTCATCTGAGGGCTTATAAACAAGTTATCACTACATTGTAAAGCTTTGTACAGGCTTGGGGAAGAAGGAGACTACTAGGAAAGCTAAAGACTGGATGAGTAAAACCAAAACCAAAAAAAACCAAACTCACTGCCATCAAGTTGAATCCAACACATAGCGATCCCTCCTTGGGTTTCTGAGGCAGTATCATGCAGAAGTAAATTGCCCATTCTTCCTTCTGAGGAGTGGCTGGTGGGTTTTAATTTTTTTGTTATTGTTGTTATGTGCCATCGAGTCGGCCCCGACTCATAGCGACCCCTCCTTGGGTTTCCGAGGCAGTATCTCTACAGAAGTAAATTGCCCATTCTTCCTTCTGAGGAGTGGCTGGTGGGTTTGAACCGCCACCCGTCTGGTTAGCAGGCAAGTGTCTTAGCCACTATGCTACCAGAGCTCCAGTTAATTAGGCCTCCCCCCAGTTTTAATTAGGTTAATATATTATTTTTCTAAGGCATTGTGAATTGAAAGGTTGAAGGCAGAATTTAGTTTGGATCCTGAATTGCCACATTATTATCATGTGTTGTGAAATTGGTGCTTTTAAGTGTTTATTGACTTCTATTTATGTCCACCTCGAAGGATTTTCAGGAGTTTATAAATTAGCTTGATTCTGAATGAGTGGACAATGATGTTATTATTAGTTAGATTTCCTAAATGGGAATCATAACATTTTTTTCTTTCAGAGGCAGTAGAAAGCTTCGTTTGTGCGACCACATTCTAAAACCTCTCCTGGCCTGTGCCCATGACAGGGACTACACAGGGGTTTCCCTCTGCCTCGCTTCCACAGTAGAAAAGCATTCTCTGCAGGGTGGGTGTAAAGCATGAGGTGGCACATTTTAACTATAAAAACATTATCTCAGTTCTTTTTCCTTTTTCTTATCAGGAAGATGTTTTACAGAAGAAAGATATTGACTGTAGGAGGATAGTTTTGGCAAGTTGAAATCAATCTTTGAGTGTTGAAGGAAAGCAGTGTGTTTTGATAAATAAAGTCCACATATTCAGTGAGGCTAAAAATCTAGAAAGAAGTCTGCTTCTCCAAGAAGTTCTTTCTTACAGGAAAACAGTATAGTCAGAACTGGTTGATTTGACTCCTTGGAGTGGCTTAGCTTGCTGCCTAGAGTTGCAGCTCATTTGGTTTCTGCCAGTCTGTGCAGTGGGCACTGTGGAGTTTTTGGCATGTTTGCTTTCCCTGATCTGGGCTTCTAGCCACAGTATTGCACTAGCGTTGTGTGAAACAAATGATTTTATTTGAAATCTTGACTACATTAGCGGTTGAGACAGGAAAGAACGTGCATCTGAGAACAAAAATTATTTTCCAGGCTTAGATCAGTAATCCAGAAAAACCTGCAAAAGCCAGAACTTGTGTAAGACAGAAACCTGTCTGACAAGAAAAACACAAATATTTTTCATTAATAGAGAGTGGGAACCTCTGGTGGCATAGTGCGTAAGGCATTTGACTGCTAACCAGAAGGCTGGCAGTTCAAACCCACCAGCTACTCCTTGGAAGGAAGGTTGGGCAATCTACTTCTGTAGTGATACTGCCTCGGAAACCCAAGGAGGGGTTGCTATGAGTTGGACTCGACTCGACGGCAGTGAGGTTTTTTTTTTTTTTGACTGGAGAGTGGTAGGAAAGTGGTAAGATCACACCTGTCAAAGGTAGAAAATTTATGAGACTCAGAAAAACAAGGCAGTCTTGTCAAGTTCCAGCTCTCAAAGTTTTCACTGTAATAGTAAAATCATGTATATACCTTTGTACTTTTTGAAGCATTTTGTCATATTCTCATTTGATCTTTTGCACTGTGGTGATAATGTAAGTTCTGAGGAATTTGTAAAATTCCTCCCATATAACCTTTGGGAGTGTTTCTTCCCCCATTGTGTTTCAGATTAATTCAATATAGTAAGTACTAGATTTCCTGCCGTATGCTAGTCTTTGGTGGATCCTTGTGTTTTCATTCTTTACTTTGTGCAATTTGAACAACAGTAGTTGATATTTAGAGCCCGTTAATTGTACAACATTCTGTTACAGGCATGGCAGCAGGTAGGATACAAAACAGCTTGCTGTTTGTTAAGGAACTATATCATATGTGCAGATAACACTAAAACAACAGAATGGGGTTTGAAGAAGTATAGGAAAATACTGTGAGTGCAAAGGAAGGAGGTATTTCTTTTAGGAGTTGGGGCTAGTAGAGCATTGAAGAAGAGCTCACTGGACCACCGGTGCCCTTCTCTCAGCGGAAGTTTCTAATGCTGTTTTCTTTCTGCATGTGTTTTAGGTCATGACTGCTGTGAGACAGTGAAGGTGCTGCTTTGTGCTTCTAAAGAAGGCCTTCCTGTGCTTGTGGTGGCTGAAGAAGACTTTCATTTCATCCAGGATGAAGCATATGATGCAGCACAGTTCCTGGCAAGCAGCGCTGGAAACCAGCAGGCTCTGAACTTCACCCGCTTTCTTGACCGGTCCCGCCCTCCATCTGCAGATGTAAATTCGCTTGATGAGAAAGTAGCACTAGCATTCAGACACCTGAAGCTGCCAGCAGAGTGGAATGTGTTGGGGACAGATCAGACTTTGCATGGTGAGAATTTATATGACTCAGAAACAAATTCTGAGTCTTTTTTTTTTTTTTTAAACGAGGCTGACTTTTTATTAAAGATTTGGTTGTTGTCTTCAGGTCTTCCATAAAGAAACTCCACCGAACCCACTGTTGTCAAGTCAATTCTGCCTCATAGCAACCCCTGTTGGGTTTCTGAGGTGGTAAATCTTTATGGAAGTAGATTGCCCAGTCTTGCTTCCATGGAGTGGCTGGTGGGTTTGAACCACCAACCTTTTGGTTAGCAGTCAGATGCCTTAGGCACTGTGCTACCAGAGCTCCTTCAGGTCTTCCATAGTAGCTGAAAGCTCTAATAATTACTTACTGTAGTCAAGTGGTCTTATATATTATTTGAGCTGTTAACTTGTTGTAGTAAAAGCACCCAAGGAAATGTCTTTGGAGTTGTTTTCAGTCTCTCATTTAAAGTCCTTTGGGTCTAAATTTCAGGCTTGCTCTTTCAAGCTTAGAAAGTGACCCATCCTTCATGAAGACAGTAGCCAGAGTAACCATTTTTGTTCTTTTATGGTTATCAATTTTCAAAGACAAAGTTTTCATTATTGTATTTTGAAGTTCTTTAAAGGTTCTGTGGAGTTGGAGGAAAAGAAAGAGTGGGGGCGGGGAGTGTGAGACTGGGAGTGAGCACTGGGAAACTTTACATTTCTTTAACCAAAGAAGTGTCACTCTTAGTTATTCTGGCTACTGACCTTCCATATAAGATTTCATTTAAGAAAGAGCCTCACTTTTTTGAAAGCATGGGTGTGACAATATCTATATATTCCTCTTACTCAGAAGGGAGTTTTCCCACATAATTATTCTTGGAGCAGATGACATCTACCAGATGTCATGATTTTTTTTCTTTAAATCTTCTAAAGTGAAACATAATATATATCTGGGGTCCAATAAATAACACCTTCTTTCCTTCTTAAAGAAGCTCTGGTGGGGCAGTGTTTTAAGTACTTGGCTGCTAACTGAAAATTTTGTGGTTTGAACTCACCAGCTGCTCTGCAGGAGAAAGATGAAGCAGTCTGCATTTGTAAAGATTTACAGACATGGAATCCATATGGGGCAGTTGTGCTGTGTCCTATAGGGTCACTCTGAGTTGGAATCGACTTGACAGCAGTGGAAAAATATAATTTTTTTTTTTTTAATGTCTCTGAGAGAGCTGGACAATCACAATACTGCCCCACAAAGACTCAGTCCACCAAGCATTGATTACTGTGTTATGTAGGGAGAAGAGACCCATACACTCTGTCTGAGGTGAGCACGTCCTAAGGAGAAATGTCCAGAGGGGCTGAGCCAGAGGATGCTTACTTCCTGCTCTCAAAGACCCATCAAATGGGTTTATTCTTCCTTCCAGAAGAATGGATAACACGTAGTTTTTAGCTTTGATTATCTTAAATCCAGTGTGTTTAACAGTTCGTTAAGCCTGTGATAGGATCAGTAATGATTGTTAAGGATTAGGCGTTGGTGAAAGGTCTAGCTGCAAAAGTATATCATGAGGGCATCCTTTGGGATGTTGGAATTATTTTGTATCCTGATGGTGGTGGTGATTAAAAGAATCTGTGCACAGATTAAAACTCACAGGACTTGTTTTTGTGTGACGAGTCAATTCCAGAGTAGAACTGCCCTCATAGGGTTTCCTAGGGTATAATCTTTACAGGAGTAGATTGCCAAATCTTTTTTTCTCACGGAGTGGTTGACCCCCCCCAAGTGAATTTTGTTGTATATAAAATAATAATTAATTAAGGAAATAATTAAGTTAAAAGAACCAAAAAGTTGAACAAGTAGGGTGAAATGCGTGCTGCCTTTTAAGTCGAAAACTGGAGTCAGAAATCTGATTTCAATGCTAGATTTATGTCCTGCAGTTGAAATTGTTCCATGAATTGTGATTTACAGTCTATAAACACAGAGTATGGTAAGGGCAGAGTATCATCAGTTGAAAGTTCATCATGCTTTTTGTTGAGGGATGTGCAGGAGCAGTCTGTTCACATCACTGCACATCAGATATGTCTGATGAACTCTCTTTGAAAGAGGGTACAAAGTAAGGTTGTTGCCTGGCATAATGCAAGTGAATAGAGAATCTTGTTATATAACAGGAATATTTGGGTTGAAAGAAAGGATGTTTACAGGCATTTCTGCCTAATACTTTTATAAAAGAATCATCTAAGGTTTATGGTTAATCTTTCTACTCTTTAATTGTCTAGATGCAATGCTTTTTAACTTTTTTTTAGGTCAGTGACTTCTTGGAGAAATCTGAAAATGCTTCAGATTTCTTCTCAGGAAAAAATGTGTATAGGTGCCTAGCTGTAAAAATTTACCTATGATTTCAGGAAGCTCATAGTCTGTCTGAGCACCATGCGTGAACATGAAGTTAGAAATGGTTGGTTTGGTCACTTGCCCATCATGAACCAGTATCTGGGGCAGGGGCATTAATTTAGCCCATGTCTTGTGCTAGCTCAGTGGCAATGGGAGCTGGTAATCTGGTAGCCTTTCCAGAATCGTATAATTTGTGTTTGGGAGCACATCTCAAAAAGGAATAGTTTTATGTAGGAGAAAAGGGAAACGTGAGGTTTGGCAGGAAAAGAAGAACAAACAGAAAAAACAAATACATCTCTGTAGCCACTCATTGATATCATTATCTTCAAGAGTCTGATAGTAATTCTGTGTTTTGAGAAAACCAAATCTGTTGGGGGGATCTTTGGATGAGTTGTCCCAGGAAGAGTCTGATGTGTGATGTTTAACCGGCTGGGCCATGGCTTTCTCTCAGCAGTTAGACTCACTGAAAGGTGTGAGACCTATAGTAGGGTTACTCTAAACAAAGAGCATCGCTATGTATTTTCCTTTAGTTTGGTGATAGCATCAACAGTAAATTTTGGGTAGTTTTCCTGGTTCTTGTACCATCAGCAGAGCAATGAAATCAAAGCCAAGGACATTTCATCCCATGTGCTGGGAAGTAGTTGTAGCCTTAGTCTGGTATTTTCCTACACTCATGAATTCCTATGTTCACATTTCCTAAGAAAACCCAGCAATTATAACTTTAAATATACGACCTAGATCAGCATTTAGTTTTCAGTATTTATTTTTTTCCTCCTCATTAATGTTGCTAACCTCCAACTCTCCCTTCATGGAACTTTGCTGTACAGATAAGCCAGGTTACCATTTTTATGGGTTCTTTGAGCTCTAGTTATCCTCAGCCTATATTGTCTACTTATCTCTGAAAAGGATGGGCTTCCCACCCCCACCTCTAGGATAGAAAGACCAGATTTTCAAATATACTGTCATTTTGTTAGTAAAAAGCCATTGCACACAACATCTGTATTTTTGAATGGCTTTGGGGGACTTTTTAGTTTATGACTTCAGTTTCAGAGAATAAACTGGATGAGTCATGTTCATTTGCTTGAGCAGGGCATCTCATTCATTATGTAAGAACTCAGAATTGTCATGGAGTATTTGGGAAAGTAAACATTTTAACTTTTCAAAGAAATGGTCCGTTCATGTCTCTAACTCATTTTTATTTTCACTGAACAACTGTGGGATTTTTTTGTTTGGCTAAAATTTGATAAATGACGTTTTCTTCTCAAAAGATTTATTTTATATACGTGTCTGTGGGTATCCACACACACACATACTTTTTTTTTTCTCTGTCTTTTTTGCAAACAAGTCCTGGACTAACAAATAAATTTTTATCTCCCATTCCATTTTTTTTGCCTCTTGTTGCAGCTCTCACCATCCCATCCACTCCCTACCTCAAAAAAAAAAAAAAAAAGAGAGAAAGAAAATCAAGTCAGTATTTTAGATTATTTAACATTCTCCAGTTTCAGTATGCCCTGTTGAACTTGTTCTCAGCCTTTAAAGTGCAATTCAGTGTCACCATTAAATTGCAATTATTATTATTATTTTTTAACTGTTTCCATATCTTATCTTGGCACCACCTCAAAGTAATGTATTCCATGAGAATAATAGTTGGCTATAGTTCCATCTCCTTTAAGTAAGGATTTTATTTCAGACAAATGTATTCCCCCACATCACCTAACTATACCTTGTGCTATAAATATATACACCTTTTGAAATAGGGGCTTTGGAGTCAGAGAATACTGGCCTGGAATCTTTGCTTTGTCACTTCCTGATCATCTAACCTGAGCAAATCCCTTACTTTCCTGAACTTCAGCTTTTGCTCTGTGAATTGGGAAGGATAAATAATACCTATCATCTGGAATTGTGAGGATTAAATAATTAATTCACGTACAGCATTTAGTGCATAGTACCTGGGACATTGTGTAAAATATAACAGCTGTTGTTGTGTGCCATCAAGTCAATTCTAACTGATAGCGACTGTATAGGACAAAGTGGAGCTGTCCCATACGGTTTCCTAGGGTGTAATCTTAACCAGGGTAAATTTAACAGATCATTTCTCATATTGAGTGACTGGTGGGTTCGAACTGCTGAGATTTCTGATAGTTGCCAAGCGTGTAACACCAGGACTCCTTCAACAGTTAATAGTGGCATAAATGTTAACTACAACTGTGTGTTCTCTGGCTCCAGTTATGGCTAAAGGGGGACATGAGTAGGGTGGCATTTTTAGATCTCTGTAATAACACTTAAGAACTTACAATGGAATATAGAATTTTCAATTTATGAAGGATCCTTAAAAGCAGGATCCACTTTTTTTTAGCTTGTATAGGATCTGCAGATAGGAGATGATGATGAGACTAAAGTGAAGTCATTTAAGAATTCATGCCCTCTAACACTGACGAGGCTAATTCGGCCATACACACAGGAACTGGAATTCATCCATTCATTATTTTCATAGTCCACTTTGATGTGTGCAGTATGGAGTTGATGGAAAAGGCTTATGTGTTCTGAAAAAAAAGGAATTTTGCCTTAACTGCAGATAATGAGATTTCACTACCAGGGACCCTTGTTTTTATAGAAATGACATTTAATGATGACCTTATTACCTTAGCATATGGAAAATTTTCCTTTTTTCCAAGATAGTGTGTTGTTAAGGGCATACTCTAT